CCGTGATAATTACAAATTTTATGACTTGTTAACCAGTGAAAAAATTTTACAGCATGTGTTACACCGATACTATTGTTCTTGTTTACGGAAACAATCACGACAGTCGCGACATCATATTCTCACACCATCTTCCGTCATTTAAACACACAGGAACGCGAACACGCGTCTTCTCATACATACATACATATATATATACCATCCACCCCACTCTCCTTCGCTTCACATACCACTGCGTTTTCAAAAAACCTGCACCTTTTACCTCTTGTTTCGCTTGTTACCGTATTTTAGTCGGCATTACATCAAGCCAGCATTTTTTTTACTTTGTTATTATACATCGCCTCTTTAACTAACCATATTTATGTTATAGATCGAGTTTGAATACTACATTATGAAGTACATGCAAATAAACAACTATTCCAAGTGGTCCTTATTGGGTACCCTGAAATATCTATCAAATAATGTTGACTTCTCTAGCGAAAACCTGGATGATATCATTGCTGTTTTGAAGAAACAACTGGAAAATTCGTCCAAAGACAGCAATATTCTCCAGCCAGCGAAAAATAAGGCTACAAAAATGTGAGTCAACCTGAATGAAACTATTAAACGGAAGGAGATAAAAGCTTTTATCGATAAACAGGACCTGAAGTTTGCTGAGGTAATCATATGCTTTGCTGTTGTAAGGAACATGTCGAACGGATGTAGTGATAATGAAAAAAATAAAATTGGACAGGCTATCAATGGAGCAAAGAATAATGACCATAAAATTCCTAACTCTCCAAGCAAATTACTTTATTAGCCGTATAATAACATATATTTTTTAATAATATAGTTTAATTAGCAATATACCATATTTATTTGACGGCTTCCAATGTAGCTGAGTCAATAACTAATTCTGATCCCTGAGTTTGCAAGCTTCTTTATCATTCAGGCTTCTGAGTACCGCGTCATCCGCCGTTTTTTGCGGTTGGTGATCAAGCCCTCCCTTGTCGAAGCCACACACAGCTGATGCGTAAATTTTAGTGATATTATCCTCAGAATGCAATAATAATACCATGCAAACACATACCGACCACTTTACCAAGGCCCCATACATGTAAACAAAGTTCGGCATATCTGTCCAATCTCTTGGCAAAGAGTACCGATCCACTTCAAATAACCGATATGCTCCTGAGTGGATATAAAATTCAATACGTAAACTTTTGCAATCGCTTTTTGACATGAAGTATCACATCATATCAAACCTCGAAAATCAAGCATGGTTAATGATATGTCTGTGCGGAATGCGGTTATCCCATATGTCCGTAAGTCAATGTATAGCTGTTTCCGAGCTTCTACTTCAGACGTAATAATATAATTGTATAGTCCCACCATGCTCTTCGTATTCTTCGATTCATCGTCTATTTTCTTTTTGTTTGGAGCGCCAGGCCTTGCACCTTCACAACATATAATAATATAGTTAACGACATCGTTGATGTATCCGATCCCATCTGCTCGTAACTTGGATTCTTGCCCTTGGAGAGGTATTTCCTCACTAAGAAATTGCAAGTATGTTGATGAGCACTGTGTGCTAAAGGCGAAATTTTAGAGAAATGGAACCAATAACACATACTACACGTAATTGACATTACTAAAAATCCAAAGCGCGGAGTCAATTGCGGGGTGAACAAGTTGATTTAGGTGGACTTTTCCTAACGTCGTCACATCCTTCAAAGGGTTTAGAGCAGCTGGTGAAACCGCTTTAAAACTGTTTCAGGAGCACTGAATCAGTAAACTTTTATAACCCTCAGCTTTGAAAAGTAATACTCACGATCGCACCAATGTCAACTTCAACAACTTTTTTGCTTTTATAATGACTTCTGAATCTGAATCACATATGGGCAGTTCCTCTACTGCATCATTCCAACCTTGTGGGCCATAATCTGCA